TGAACGGCGCAGGTGTAGACAGAAGATCACTCCAGAATTCGGTGGCTTCACCCGCCTCTGGAAATTGCGGCGTCTCCAATCGATTTGAAGCACCACTAACAGGGTGTGCAGGCTCCCGAAGCGTCCGGTAGAAAGCACGCTCATTCATTTGGAACATTTTGTTGGCTTTTTTGGCCTTTTCATTTTCTCGGTATCGACGCATCCTGGCTGCTAGCGCAAGAAGTCGATCTTTCTTTCCCTGTAGCTTCTATTATTATTATTATTATTATTATTATTATTTTCTTCAGACTTCGTAACTCACACTTCCTGTGAATCCACACAGGCGGGTGGGACGCAGCCCTCACTGTAACCCACACACTTCACGTACAAACTAGCACGCGGGGAGCCCCAAGTCATAAAATAGAAAATGTTGAAGGGCCTCTGCTGGGATGACGACTACACCATAGCTCAGTGGTTAGAGCATCGCTGGCTACAAGCGAGGGTCCCTGGTTCGAGTCCTGGTGGTGACAGTCAATTTTTTCTTCAGACTTTTCCCGTTTGTCTCTTTCCCTCAAACCAGTTAATATTATTATTATTATTATTATTATTTTGACTAGTTTTGAGGGAAAGAGATTATTATTATTATTATTATTATTATTATTCAAAGGATCTGTCGGGGAAGTGAACTGCCTGAAAAGAGAAAAAAACGCCAGACCCACCAGGACTCGAACCTGGGACCCTGCTTGTCATGAGCGATGCTCTAACCACTGAGCTATGGGACCAGGCTGAACCTAGAAGGCGCTGACAAGTTTTTCACTCCAAGGGCAGCTCACAACACGTGCCACACATACTGATGGCACTTGGGTCTTTTTCCCTCCCCCAGGGGACCAACCACGGTCAGTTTCTGGAAACTACCAGAGGTGAAAGAAAGTGATTAAATTTGGAAAGGATTGGGAGAACTTCAAATTCAAAGGATCTGTCGGGGAAGTGAACTGCCTGAAAAGAGAAAAAAACGCCAGACCCACCAGGACTCGAACCTGGGACCCTGCTTGTCATGAGCGATGCTCTAACCACTGAGCTATGGGACCAGGCTGAACCTAGAAGGCGCTGACAAGTTTTTCACTCCAAGGGCAGCTCACAACACGTGCCACACATACTGATGGCACTTGGGTCTTTTTCCCTCCCCCAGGGGACCAACCACGGTCAGTTTCTGGAAACTACCAGAGGTGAAAGAAAGTGATTAAATTTGGAAAGGATTGGGAGAACTTCAAATTCAAAGGATCTGTCGGGGAAGTGAACTGCCTGAAAAGAGAAAAAAACGCCAGACCCACCAGGACTCGAACCTGGGACCCTGCTTGTCATGAGCGATGCTCTAACCACTGAGCTATGGGACCAGGCTGAACCTAGAAGGCGCTGACAAGTTTTTCACTCCAAGGGCAGCTCACAACACGTGCCACACATACTGATGGCACTTGGGTCTTTTTCCCTCCCCCAGGGGACCAACCACGGTCAGTTTCTGGAAACTACCAGAGGTGAAAGAAAGTGATTAAATTTGGAAAGGATTGGGAGAACTTCAAATTCAAAGGATCTGTCGGGGAAGTGAACTGCCTGAAAAGAGAAAAAAACGCCAGACCCACCAGGACTCGAACCTGGGACCCTGCTTGTCATGAGCGATGCTCTAACCACTTTTTTTCTCTTTTCAGGCAGTTCACCGATATTACTTGACACTTGACTGACTCACGACTGCCATCCAGAGCACACGAGAAGTCCATCGAACCTTCGACTCGGCAAACCTGCAAGAAAGCACCACTCCCTGCTCAATACACAGTGTTTCGGGGAATTCACCCCTCATCAGTTGAGCTTGAGTAGGCTGAGGAAGATTGTGCCTGAAGAGCACCACTTATATAGTGCTCTCCAGGTACAAACATCACCAGGGATACAAACTTACAGAGACGCTCCGCTTCCAGCGCGATAAACACCTCGTGAACACCAGATAGCAGCGTGAGTCAGTGTCGCTCCTGGACGGTGAGACCAGACGTTGAGGACCCTCGGTCATTCGCAACGCTGTCACCCCCAAACCAACTAGTCGCAAGCCCGCGCTGGGCACAACAGTACGAAGTAGTGGTTGCGACTTCGGCGATGATGATTTGTAAGAAAGGGTTTGCTCCCCACACCGGAGCTCGCGCTATTCCGCCGATATTTCTTGACACTTGACTGACTCACGACTGCCATCCATATCGGCGGAATAGCGCGAGCTCCGGTGTGGGGAGCAAACCCTTTCTTACAAATCATCATCGCCGAAGTCGCAACCACTACTTCGTACTGTTGTGCCCAGCGCGGGCTTGCGACTAGTTGGTTTGGGGGTGACAGCGTTGCGAATGACCGAGGGTCCTCAACGTCTGGTCTCACCGTCCAGGAGCGACACTGACTCACGCTGCTATCTGGTGTTCACGAGGTGTTTATCGCGCTGGAAGCGGAGCGTCTCTGTAAGTTTGTATCCCTGGTGATGTTTGTACCTGGAGAGCACTATATAAGTGGTGCTCTTCAGGCACAATCTTCCTCAGCCTACTCAAGCTCAACTGATGAGGGGTGAATTCCCCGAAACACTGTGTATTGAGCAGGGAGTGGTGCTTTCTTGCAGGTTTGCCGAGTCGAAGGTTCGATGGACTTCTCGTGTGCTCTGGATGGCAGTCGTGAGTCAGTCAAGTGTCAAGTAATATCGGCGGAATAGCGCGAGCTCCGGTGTGGGGAGCAAACCCTTTCTTATTATTATTATTATTATTATTATTATTATTATTATTTAATAAGGATGGCGTAACTCCTCTGTAGCCTTGTCATGATTTCTAATTTTCTTTCACCGCCCACGGCCGCACAAAGTCCTTGGCTAATTAAATTCTCTCCAAATCTCTCAAAACCAAACTTAAAACTCCTTTCCAAATTTTCGCCCAAGAGGGCATCTTCCTGGAATTTAATTTTTTTTTTTGTAGCCAAGGACTTTGTGCGGCCGTGGGCGGTGAAAGAAAATTAGAAATTATTATTATTATTATTATTATTATTATTATTATCTGTCAAGTGCCATTAATGACATTGTACATGATCATCACCGCGTGCGCTCGATTTAATCATTGATTGTCTTTATTTTATGTTTTGCCCGTACAAGAGGCATTACCCATATAAAAACCGCTCTGTGAGCGGTTCTGAAAAACCTCTACTGGTGCAGCCCCGTCGTAAAAGTAAGAAATTAGAACTGGCGCATTGTCCTCCCAAATGTGAACTGATCCACCTAAATCGCGATTGACGGGACCCGAACGCACCAGTAGCACGAGGTTCCTACCTGTGGATGCAGCTGGGGATGCTGGTCCATAGCCAAAGCCAAAGCGGCAAAGGTGGGCTTCGGGGTAAATCTAAGTGTTGTATGGTAACTTGATCAGCGCCGACGCCGGCTGTGATCCTGTGCCCTCCCGACCTCGTGCTACTGGTGCATTCGGGTCCCGTCAATCGCGATTTAGGTGGATCAGTTCACATTTGGGAGGACAATGCGCCAGTTCTAATTTCTTACTTTTACGACGGGGCTGCACCAGTAGAGGTTTTTCAGAACCGCTCACAGAGCGGTTTTTATATGGGTAATTTCAGTTCTTTTTCTGTTCCCTCCCCCACCCTAGCCCAGCTCCGAAGATAAACATGGTGAGCACGCGCGCGATGCACTGTATGTAGCCATGCAACTGCAGTAGCACACTGATACATTCCAGCCCTCCCGACCTCGCTACCCCGCACACAGACACCTTGTGACAAACACGCACATGCACATGGCACACACACACACATGGGCACGCACTCACACACATACATACACACACACACACGACCCAAACAGGAAATTCTTGATGAACATTGCATAATGCCATGCAAAGCAGTGGCCACCATACTTCAGGAAGTCAGTTGTGAAACAAAAATAATTCAACTACAATGTGTAGGTAAGCTAGCAGCCAAAGCACAACATTGCAAACGGTGATGATATTTGCCTAAGGATTCCTGTTTGCAGACCACACCATGGAAGCAGTGAATACAGAATTATTGTAATGTCATACAAAGACGAGCAAAGAAGTGGCCACCATACACCAGAAACTTGCAGAAAGTCACATATCCAACAGATAGAGAAGTGAACAGCATCTGGTACAGCCCACACAAAACCAAGCTGACCTGATACTCGTCCGAAGATTGTAAGTGGCAGATCCTTTTCAATGATAGCATGCAGGTGTACGTTACACGCATGGACAAAATCTGACCGTGTCACCGGCATACATTGTCATCACATGCATACCCCACAGGTTACACACATGCACAGTAGAAGCACAATAAAAGCAATGGAAAAATATGAAGGGGTTGCTGAAGCATCTTCACACTTCAATTTCAGACTTCGATGTGGTCGTCACGGGGTGATATAACTGCAAGATACAAGTGATACAGAAAGAAAGCATAAGGTCGTGAGGTAGGCTATGAGACACCACAAATGGGTCACCTACATGTATGTTCAGGGCTGGTGTACACACACACGCAGAATTATCATAATCGAGAATTTCCCAAACTACAGAAGAGCAATGAAATCCATTTGCATGCACAGGAGCAATTTTGCAGTATGATGCGCAGCTCGGGAATACACCTGTTGGCAATGGATTACATTCCCATTGGAATTCCCATTCACGTGGGATTCACAGAAGCAATTTGGCAGTGTGCTGCGCAATGCGACACGACCTGCGATTCTGCGTGCGATGCAAACTCGCACAAAATACCATTCACAGAATCAGGACAAGACGTCAGCGATGCAACAGCGCCTTGCTGACTTGCCTCAAGTCAAACCTCAATGAGAATGCGTTTTTCGGTTACAACTGGTACAAATGTACAAGCAATTTCTGAAAATGCTCCTGTGAATCCTGCTTTAAGCAGTGCAGGAATGTCCCTCCTCCGCTCCCCCCCCCCCCTCCACACCCTCAGGGAACTTGACAAGGAAGGGTGGTCTTCGCGGTTCCCAACATCTATTTACAGTTTCTGGTCTCCACTATGTCTTTTCAATGGGGATTTGTACGTACCATAAAAGCAAGCCTAAAAAATGAACAGCACATTTGCCGTTCCCCCACTGGGGAGGATGCGTTCCAAAGCTATCCTGACAAGATACTCCGAGAAGCGGTGCTGAGTGCAATGCATTGTGAAACTGAAAAAGCTGACCAAGCCGCGGCATATAACGTCTAAACTTCAATTGTAGTTCGCCAGCTGACTACTTTCAGACTCCATGTAGGTTGGAGTACAGCTGGCTTAGAAGTTTGACAACGGCGCACGCACATAAGCAATGGCCACCTTACCTGTACTGTAGCAGTACTTCCGAGTTCCCGTATGGGAGTTCCCTCACTGTGTGTGCAATAGCAGCCTCATCGGACCAGTTCAATGCGACGCGGACAGTCCGACACTGAGGAGGACATTGAAGAAGTCAGAGACAGGAAGAATGGTTGATTTACAATTCAACTAGCAAGGCTGCACACCAACGAAGTTCCACTCACCATTGTGCCGTCCTTCTTGGAATGCAGAAATAACGCTTCCTCTCGAGAACGCAGCCTGTGACAGAGAAAAAGGAAGGAGCATCGCCATCGGCATTGGTCCTCTGCTATCACCGATTGCCGAGTTGCACAGTTCACTCTAACAAGACTGAGGATGTTCAAGAACTCCCCATCCATACCATTATTGGGGTATTAAAGAGGAAAGTTCAGATTGCCTAGTTCCTAGGGCCTAGCATTCCTGGATGCCAGGATGTGCTGCCCCCCCCCCCCCTCCCATCTACTGCCTGGAAAGGGCAACATATGTGACAGCGTTCACCAGTACAGTCGGAGGAGAACATGGGAGAAGGCAAAAAAGGGCAACACACATGAATCCCTTATAAACAAGCAGTGGTAACTCTAGCACCAGCAATGTTGGACTTACATCCCAGCCATTGCCGCCGGATTCAGCGGCTTCTTCTTCTTCGTCTCCCATCTTGGAAGCACTCCTTCCCGTAAGTTCAGTCCTGGGAGTACAGTCGGAGGAGGACGTCGGAAAAGGCAAAAAGGCAACACACATGATTCCCTTATAAGCAAGCAGTGGCTACTCTGGCACCAGCAATGTTGGACATCCCAGCCATTGCCGCCGGATTCCCACGCTTCCTCTTCGTCGCCTTCCAGTTCCCAGGTTCCATCTTGCAAATACTCCTTCCCGTAAGTAAGTGCAGTCCTGGCCTGGGTGGATGCGCAGTACATTGACGATGGCGGAGATGGAGCAGGTCAGGGAGTCCTATAGGGGTCCCGAGAGCAGATTGTGGCCAAATTCGGGACGATGCCGGACGCCAGTCAGTATGAAGTAGCGAATTGCGGACCGCCACGTAGATTGGGGTCGCGGGGTCATAATCCATGGGCACTACTCGTACGTTGCTCCAAAAAAGGGCACTGCACTGTTCCACAGTTGCTGTTAGCGGTCGCCAAAGGCACTTGGTAGGCCGGTAATTGGGTCACGTGTCAACAAAGTGTCAACAACGTGTCAACAACGTGTCGACCACGTGTCTTTAGCGGTACACTAATTTTGGTGTCCCCAAACTGAAAACATCGAGCACCAGTATGGAAAGGCTTTAGACAGAAAGCCTTTCCAATTAGCACTGCAAAAAAATAGCATGGCACCAGCGTACGTAGTACGCCTGGGGTCATTCCTAACGGGCATGGTGAATCATTTCCGAACGCGTTGCCGAATGAACAGTTCGCCTACCGCAAGCAGCATTCCTGCGAAGATCTTTTAGCCACGACAACAAACGACTGGCAAGCATGTCTAGACAAGGGCCAATTTGTTGCTGCTTTTCTCGATCTCAGCAAAGCATTTGACACAGTCAATCACGCCTCCCTTCTTCAAGAACTCTTCTCTATTGGTGTCGGTGGTACTGCACTGCTATGGATAGCTAGTTTCCTATGTGACCGTCGCCAACGAGTAGTCACGAAGCATCAGGAAGGTGAACAGTACACACCTACAAGAGGTGTACCTCAAGGGTCAACATTGGGTCCTGCCCTCTTTAACCTATCCGTCCGAGCTCTGCCATCATGTACCATCACGAGCAAGGTTCGGCAGTTTGCAGACGACGTGTCTATGTATAAGGCAGGTACGAACTTGCAGCAACTCACTGATGATCTCTCTGCTGACATATCTGTCATCAGAGAGTACCTACGTGACCGAGGTCTCAAACTTAATGACTCCAAGACTCAATTTATCATCATAAGACAAAAAACAAAATGTGTTCCTCCTAACATCTGCCTTCGGCTCGGCGATGTCCTCATATCTCCAACACCAACGGTGAAGTATCTTGGCCTCACCATTGACGAACATCTATCCTTCTCCTCATATGTCACTGAAGTTGAGAAAAAGGTCGGAACAAAACTTGCCATGTTCCGCAAGATCAGGGACAACCTGACACCAGCTGCGAGAAAGACCTTTTACTGCTCATTTATTGAAGCACACCTTGAGTATGGTTCTAATGTGTTTGTACACTGCCTTCACACCACACAACATGATAGACTAACTCGTATTGCTAACCGCGCTGTTAGGATTGTTTTTGGTTTCCCTTGGCACTATGATGTTTCAGTCTTACACACCAGATATGGCCTTGCTCCTATTGCACTGCGCTATCAGCTTAAACTGTATATTCTTGTCTTTCGGGCCCTACGTGGCATGTGTAGCACTCTGCTCTCTGATTGCTTCTGCCTTCGTTCTGCCGCAACACACACAGCTGCCCGTACACGTTCCCAGTCCATAGATTCCCTTGCTCTGCCTAAAGCACGCAATCGTTATGGCTTATTCGCTTTGAGCTTTCTGGCTTCTGACCGCTGGAATTCTCTTCCAGCTGACATTCGCTCTTGCTCCTCGCTTTCACTATTCCGCAAATCTGTACGTGATCACATAGGGTACCCTGTAAAAAGGCCTTAGGCCTGTGGGGATTGCCCTATTCAAAATTTAAATAATAATAATAATAATAATAATAATAATAATGGGTACCCCGTACCCAGGCATGATAATGCCCTGGTACGGTGCTGCTCTGATTGGCCAAAATGCTAGCAACGACCTGACAACAGGCACGTGGCATGTATGAAGAAAAACATCATCTTATTTTTGGTATAGCGATACGAAGTGATTTGGCTTTTTTTAACATTTGGCATTTTTTAACAAATGTGTAAAATTTGCCTTTCTTCTGGCTGTTTTTCTGCTCCGGATGGGTGTATCGAAACATGGGTGGTGGCAAATGAGAGCCAGTTTATCGTAGATATTAGAATATTGAACAGAATATTTGGTGCATATAATTTAATTCTCCCTGCCACGTCGGTATAACTAGTGGTGGGTGCTTTGCCATTTGGTGTAAAATGAGCCACTGAATGGACGATGAGGGCAGTGAATTGCTTCCGCAGGGCCTTTGGACGACGTCAGGCCGTTTTGCCATCACTAAAGACAGTAATGAAGAACAGTAGGTCACGGAATACACTCTGTGAGAACGAAAACATGGCTGCGATGCTATGCTACCTGTCCAATTCCATATTCCATATAACACAGCCACTAGTTACAAAATACAAAAACATGGCTTTCGCAGCACACAATGCAGTTCACTCCTCTGTTGACAGATTAATTTTCATCAACTAGCAATCCTTGAAGTGATATCTATCAACTTCAGAACATAGATGACCGAATATCCCAGTTTGTGATGCCATTTTACAAATTTGTTAAAAAATGACACACCAATTATTTGAATCCTGAAACTACTATGAAAGTAGGACATGATTCAAGACACTTTCCAAAGTGGAAACATTACCATTTTTGGACACAACGGGTATAGGATAGCACTTCCACTTGCAACAATTCATTTGGACGTAACTTGTCTAGAAGTGACTGAAAAAAACGTCATTTTACAACCATGTTGAAAAAGCCAAACCACCTCGTATTTAAATACCTCGTACCTTGGTAATTGTATTCAGAACACAGTTGCGTCGATCCCCAAAAATGCGTAAATGTACCTGGGATAAGTAGGATATTGACCCACGTACTCGGGTGTTACCATACCCTTATATCATTTAGAAAAGCGATCCTGTCAGCTTTTCTATTAGTGTGTCTCTCCTGCTACGCAGTCGGGATGATAAGTATGATATTACCCAAGTACGAGGGTGTTACCTCCCGAATATCATCCCGACTGCGTAGCAGGAGTCTCCGACAGTGCGAGGAGCGTGAAGAGCGCAGTGCCAGACGGCAAGAGGGTGCACTCAGCGCAGAGTTTGACGAAAAGCTCAAGGAGATGAACGCATCGCCAGGGCGTATTCTGATGGTGATGCAGCCAGTGTGAAGTCGTACAGTGGAAGCTCCCTGTCACAACGGTGGGCGTAGGCCTTTAATGAAAGTCCCTACATAAGATGGAAGGCAGCCACTGGAGCGTTTTCTCGACCTGTTCGAAGACATCTGTGTCAAGAACGAGTTCAACGAAAACGAATGGCTGCTGCGATTGCGTATCGCTCTATCCGTTAGCACTGTGAATAGGAACTGTATTGGCTGCAGTACCTATGAGGATGCAAACCGAGATTTGCTTGCCTCGCTCGGAAGGACGCCGGACAAAGCGTGGAACACTTTGCTGACAGGCAAGCTGCGGTCAGAGAAGTCTTCGAAGTCAGAGAAGTCTTCGAAGTCAGAGAAGTCTTCGAAGTCAGAGGGAGGATCAGATCCAAGGCTCACAGCGTGACTGCGTCGATGCAGTGTATGGCGATATCGGTCTGAACACACAAAAACATGAAGCAAAAGGCCCAGACTTGGTCAAACTGACTCAAAGACGAAGCTTAGAATCTCATCGAATATTTTGATTTCGTGCTGCGGAAACTTCTTCAGTTGAGCACCCTCACAGCTTGCACAATGTGCCTCAATACACGGTATGTCGTGAATCAGAAAACATCTGTACGTGGCTCACTGAGTATCACGTGGCACACACACGTAACGTATACACGTATTACGTGGGACTAACCCTCCCTAATATTAGGCCGGAGTGACGGATACTCTCCAATCGGGTAAGACAGGGCATGCGTGGTGCTGATTGCCTGACCACAGAGGCAGGCGGACGGAAGCATTCGAGGGATCCTCGCCATAGCGCAATTTTGCACGTGTGCCAGTACATGCATTCATATGGCATTAACCAAAAATAAATAAATCAATTTATAAATTAATCCTACCGACCGACCTTGGTACGGATGAGTCAAGTAAACCAAAGTAACGAATTAATTTGAGGTGGCCAGAGCACTTTTCTTCAGTCGTCATGAACGTGAAAGTCATCGCGCGATGGGCCACAATAGCTGAGCTCAAGTCAACTTTTTCGCAATGCATCACGTTTCCGGTACGCAAAATGAAGAGTGTGGCTGCGTTTACGATTGACAACGATTTGCATTTACACAACAACGAAGTACGACCGGAAGCTTTTGCCGTTTACGACTATCGTTTACATGACATCGCCCGAAAAGAGACCTCCAATTTTTATAAACGGAACGAAATGGAAAAGGACTTCCTAATGTTTCGAAACGTTTCCAAAACGCTTTCGTTCTCGTGAAAACGGTGAAAACAGTGAAAACAATTGGTAACAGATTGCCGTCATGGAAACCATTCCGCGCGGGACTATATTTCGCGGGGAAATATCCAACCCTGCGCCCGTCAACAGGTGCCAAATCCAACTACTGTGTTACTTCCCGCCCTTGCGCCAAGCCAGCACGTTCTTACTCCAGCCTGATCGCCTGTATTGCGTTTACGTCTACGGTTCAAAGCGATTTGCCGTTCTCATGTAAACGGTTTGAAAACGATTTGAGGCCAGCGCATTTTCGTTCCGTTTCTTTTAGTCCCCGTGTAAACGCAGCGTAAATCAGGCGTTACTTGCAGAGAGCGGCTATAGGGGTGTGAATTTTAATAATATTGACACGGCTATAATGTTATCGACACTGACTCATGCTGCTATCTGGTGTTCACGAGGTGTTTGTTTCGCTGGAAACCGGAGTGTCTCCGTAAGTTTGCATCCGTTGTGCTGATTTTGTCTGGAGACTCAGAGAGCACAGTTACAAGCTGTGCTCTTCAGGCACAATCTCCCTCAGCCTAATCAAGCTCAACTGAGGAGGGGTGAACTCCCCGAAGCACTGTGTATTTGTCGCATCCCCGGCTCACAGTGACCGGACCCCGAAATCACTACGAGCGGCGACTGAATATAGACGTGTGGCCTCACGACAAGCCCAACACAACCCAGGGGCCAACCAATATAGCTGGCTTGGTCCAAGTTCAACCCCACACGATCAACAGACAAAGACTGTTAGTTTTACGTTGTGAGTAGTATCAAATCCGAGCTCAAAGTAAACGAAGACAGAGAGCTGAGACCGAGTCTCGACTGCTAGACTAGACTAGACTAGGCTAGATTAGACTTAAGCTAGACTGAACTGAACTGAAGTAAGGAAGAGAATGAGAGCTTCTTTTATAGGGTGCTTCAGAGATATATGGCGTGATCATTGCGAGGTAATTCCAGGAAATAGCAGAACAAGTCAAACCGGAATGTGCGCAGCCAGTCAGCAGAAATGCAGAATATACGTACGGTG